CGGTTTGGGAAATTTGTTCACACTCGCAAATTCCACTTCATTACCGTTACAATTTATATTTATTTATTTATGTGTCAGTGTATATGATGTATGTGCATTTATATAATGTACAACAAATTGAGCTTTATGCAAAGTATCGGCTTACCTTTTCCTCCATTTTTCTTGGTCCTTGGTTTTCAGTGCGGTGATCTTTTCGCAGCTCAAAAAGCAATCTGAACATCATCATCAGCTCTAGAAATACATCGAAGTTGCTTGGATCTTCCTCGATTTCATGTCTCCACAAATGTCGTAGCAATTTTTCTTCTAGAATGCCCTCCTCATCAAGCTTATTCCACATTGGCATCATTTTAGGCCACTAAAGAAAATTAGGCTGTTAGCGTATACACGTTAAAAAAAACAATAAATTAAAAAAAAATCAAACCTTCAAATGATTGCGCATTCTGTAGAAAAAGTTACGTTTACAGTAGTTTTATCCGGATCCGCGCAAGTAATTTTCTAGACGATCGACGCGTGCTTGATGGGGTCCTGGCAAGATATTGGCTTTTTTTTTTAAACTAGCACTTCCACCTAATTATTTCACAGTTTAGGGTTTCTGAAATGGTTTCAATGTGGCGAGAAAAGTCCATTAAGGCAAGATACAGACCATGAACTCCGTGTGTTGGTTGGTACAAGGTAAGTACTACCAGTGAAATAGTTACGCCGCACCAATTGTATTTATAAATTTATAACATCGATTAGTTTTAAGTTAAGAAACCTACCATGGTAATAAAACAAAATTAAGAATCTGAAGAAAAATACAGTACGTGCACTGTTCAAGTGCGATTGAAAAGCATTGTTTGAACGTTAGCACGTACATCTTTTTAATTATCTCTATATTAGGCCTGAGACAACTATAGAAGTTGTCTCAGATTGTTGTCTCAGATTAAGCCACTTATAAAAATGTTAAACAAACCACTGATAAAAAAAAAATAACAATTTTACCTATAGGAGACTTAAAGAGACGTACCTTGTCAATATCGTCTGGTTTTACCACTGTGATGATTTTAGTCAAGAAGTCGATCATCATATGCAAGTTTGTTATCACCGTGTTTTTTAATTTCTCGTTAGTCTTCGAGTACAGAAGTATTCCAGTGTCATTTAGATAATCGAGGACAGTGGTGATCGTGTCTTTTGCAATTCCACACTCAGCGGCAACAGCGGTTATCTATAGAATTGTTAAATTAAATCTTTAATGTGATAAATTTTTAACCCAACGAACTAAAAAAATAAGAGATAAATAACCATAGGCATAGAAGCTATTACAAATATAGAGGAAGCAAACAAACCTCCTCCAAAGACACCCGCAGTTTTGTTTTTGCAAGTTCTTGGACTTTGGACTGGAAATCAACCCAGTTAGTGGGCACAGTTCTTGCCATTGCCTTCATGTAACCCATGACGTTCTTCTTCAATTTCTCAATCCCTTCATCCATCTTTGCAGTGTTATCAACTGCGTATATCGTCCGGTCAACGTGTGTTTCGTACGCTGTATCTTTGATGGCATCAAATATTGTTTGGTACATTGTTTTGATCTTAAAACAAATTTGATAAAATTGATAGATAATCTTTATGATTGTAATACATTCTTAAAAAATTATGAACATTTTTTCTTTAGCAACATAAATATTTTAAAGACTTTACAGTACCGTATGTTCTTGCGTATAAGCTGAGGCTTAAACTACCAAATTACGATCGAAAAACAGAGGGTCGTCTTTTGCGCACGACATAAAAATACCTGATTTTTGAAATCATGTTCGTCTTACGTGCGGATCTTCCGTAACATTCGAATTTGCTACTGAATGAACCTACTAATAATGTTAGTAGGATGACTGAACGCAACTTTTAATACTGAGAAATAAATTTTGATTAATAATTAAATGTTATTATTTTGAAGATCAGCTTATATTTGGATATGTTTTTAGCCAGCTAGATGCAGTATTAGGATCATAAAGAACATAAAAATGTATGAATTCCGATGGTGAAACAGGCGGGGGGGGGGGGGGGGTCGCCTTATACGCCCTACATAACACAAATTGTCCATAAACCTTCTCGAACTCGGGGTCGCCTTATACGTGAGTATATACGGTAGTCACAATAAATAGGCCTTAGTTAAAAAAAAAAAAAAAAAAAAAAACACGTTACATTATCAAACACTACGTTTGCCATTAAAAAACTATTTCAATTTCATTAATGGATTGTTTCAAATCTAAAAAAAATCAAACAAGACAAAAAAAAAGCGAAAGTAAAAATATAATGTACGGTACCGGTATTGTATATTAACTTACAGATTTTAAAAGGAACACTATAATTCAACATACAAAGAAAATCTTACACGTGTTTCTGCCTCACTCTTCGACAATTGGTCTTTGTGAGTTGCAATCAAACTTATTGGGGGAGAGGATATTTCTGCGTTGAAGAAAAGTTTCTTCTTTTCAACATTCGGTAGAACAGCATGTTCAAATATTGAACGCATCCAGAAGAGAATCATCTCTAAATTAGTCATTGAAAATTTCCCCTAAACATTAAAGAAAAAATAGCCCTATTTACGAAAGACAATTGAGATAAATAAAATGAATTTATTATATAGCCATAGGCCTACCGCTAATTTACAAAACTTAATGAATTACACTATAACCATACAATACAAGAATATTGTAAGGAAGATTTAACTGATTTACTTACTTTATGTAAATCTCTTGATTTCACAAAATCATTCAAATCATCTAGCAAACTGAAGACTACGCCGTACGACGCTCCACCTGTCAGGTAAATCTACAAAGGGAGGAATATTTATGAATTTATGATTACGAAGATACACATTTAAACAAAGACATTATCTATAAGTGAACTTGAAATTCGCTATATAAATGAATAATAATAATAATAATAATAATAATAATAATAATAATAATAATAATAATAATAATAATAATAATAATAATAATAAAATCATTATTAGCAATATTATTAATATCCTGACTACTGATCAAGGTCTTTCGCACATTGGTCTCGGGTGCAATATGGCCCATGTGCTGTTAAAGTACGCAGAGGGCGGTACACTCTTCGGGCAATAGAGGTTTGTCTCCCGGTTTCCTGGTGAATTTACCACAATCAGGACGGACTGGAAAAAAGTCTCCTTCGAACTTTCGTGGGTTATCCTTGGTCCCTACACCAAATCAATCCATTCTAATCCATGATGTGTATGACACGCATTCCACCGTAAACATACCTATGGTTAATGACCACATAGGGATCTTTTGTGGCTGCCAATTTACGTATTCCTTTATACATGTGTTCCTGTCTTACACAACCTATTAGCCTGAAGAACATTCGCAAACGAAGATGTGAAGATTGTAAAATTTGGCATTTAAAAGAATTCTATTGAATTCTGAATTCAGCATAACCTACCCGATGGGTTATATAGTACTTTAACTGCCCGGCGTAGTCCCATATGGATGTTACTTCGATTGGACCATCGACGTTTCTAGGTCCCTGGTCAGCAAGTCTATTAACCACCAGTTCATGAAGTCTGTCTGGTAGTTTCTTTTCAAATGTATCATAGCTTCCCGTGGATTGATTCGTTGATAAACCTCCAGCCTCCTGAGGTTCCTGAGAATTTCCTGGAAAATAAAAAAAATGAAAGTAAAACTAGCGAGAGTTAAAACACAAAGATTATGGTAATCTGAACTTATGATGATTAATTATTTTGAATTATGATGATGACGAAAATGAAAATGGAGATGATAATGATGACAATTTCTTGATACTGTCGTAATGATGATGCTGATGATGATGGTTATAAATGGAAAAAAGGCGTCTATGATGTTAACAATCAAAAATATAACGATGACAAATACAATAAACATGAATAAATGAATATGAAGATGATAAGGATACACAAATGAGAGTGATAGTGATTGGTGATAATGAAGATCATTGATGATGATTATGGTAACAATGATGACGCTGATGGTAATGATGATGATTATGATAATAATGATGATGTTCCTGAAAGCATCTAATTTTCATGGTGGCAGTCTAAAATCAGTGGCATATCTAGAATTTTTGAAATGGGGGTGCTGATGGCGGTGCTAAAGTGAAGTGTAAGGGTGGGGTTGATAGTCAATTGAGGGGCGCTAATTCGCTACTTGACAGTGATTTTGGGGGAGGGGGTGTGAGGAGTGGGCGATTGGGTTGTGCGAGTAATTTTTGGAGGGGCGAGCGCCCCCTCTCCCCCATGCGCACCCCCTAGATACGCCACTTAAAATCCAATATTGCCTCCATGATGACAATCTGCAAATGGTATATTTGAAATCCTGTACAGTAGGCCTACCCTGAAAACATAATTATATGATTTTTTTTTATTAATCAACATAATACATAACGAACACAGAAATGGGTATTTAAAAAAAAAAAGAAAATTCTTTTAGAAGTCAAGATATGCTCATAAACCTGATTTTTATGGCGTCTGTTTGACTATTTTTAGTAGAGAGCTTCATACGACAAAACTTAAGAGAACTTAGTTCTTTTAAATTGTTTTGCAGACAAAAGAAAAAGAAAGGTTACCATTATTATGAATACGGTGACGATGACGTAAGTAATGTAATTATCATTGTTGCCAAAAACTTAATAAATACCTCTTTCATTCAACGTCATTACAGTTGTTGCTTCCTTCACTTTTACCTGTAATTAAATAATAAACTCATATTAATTACATTTATCTGCTTTTTCAGAATAATAATAATTTAAAAAAAACAATCTACGGAGTGGTGGTTTGTAGTATATTAATATGATCATTACTTATATGTACTTGGAGTGATGCGTTTTGTCCTACCCGATGTGCTATCGTACTGTATGTAATCACAATTTATAGAAATATTAGAAAATAACGATATTTAATTTTTAAAAAATTCAAGAAAAGCACAGTACCGTACACAAAATAAAAAGAATGAATAGGCCTAATTATAAAAGTAATTATAGTAAATTTGATCATAAAATACGATAAACAAATAACATATTTACCATTAAAGATGATGTAGAAGTTGACGATGTACTTCGTTGGCTTTCTGGCTGTTTCAACTTCCTTGCGATATTTTCTGCTATGGCGTCATCTTTTATCTGATTTGTTAGCTCAGCCACTGAACCACATAAATAATAAACATTATATCCAAAACTAAGTTATATATCATTACACTAACAATTGCATAGAATAATATATAAACTTGAAATTAAAAAAATACATGAAGTCAAACATTCATCAAACATCAGTTAAACTATTATTTAAAAAAATTTAAAAAAAATAGGCCTATAAAATTAAGAACAAAATTATCACTTAGGCCTAATCTGTAAATTCAATGATTTTCATGTACCATCTACATCGGTTTTCTCCCACTCGCTGCAGCCTTCACCCAAAGTTTGAAATACGGTTGTTGTTACTATACCGTCAGTTGATTCTTCATTCTCATTAAATCTATTGACGATATAATAACGGGAGTTGTAATTATTGTAATTAATTAAAACGTAATGAATTAACAAATGAACTTACATATTATGCCTGCATTTTATGACATAATTAGCAATTATAACATAATATAATTGATTTTCACAGCATTGTAAAATTTCTTTTTCATAAAATTACGTATTTATACTATAGCCTATTTCCATACCCTTCCGTTGTTGTTATAATTACACTTCTACTGATTTCATATTATAAATTAATTGTATTTGCATTGCATTGAATAGGGGTACCCCATTCAGGGAAGGGACACCCCTATTAAAGGGACTTTTTTTTTGGTCCCGAAGGTTTCCCCTTAATAGGGGTTTTACTGTTGTAATAATAATGATTATTATTTTTTTTATATAGGGTGACGAATAATCTTTTAGCTTAGCGAAAACGGTAGGGGGAGGGGGGTGGCATATTTGATTGGGAACAATTTCCTTGAGCTTCATTTTAAACAAAAGCAAAAAGAGATCGTTGTTGATTTTTGTTAGAAGGGTGATTGCAGAGATATCATCTGTATCAAAAATGAGCAGAGTGGAACAAATTGCTTCATATAAGGACGTACCGGTATCTTAGAGTTGTATTCGACTGTTCACTCTCATAGGGCACGGGGAACCGCATTGACTAAATTATCAAAAAACTTTACGCTCACATGTACTGTCTATATGGTAAACCTAAATGTTTTAGGGTTAATACGTATATTTCAGTCACTTTCTATAATTTAAAAATTTGTTGTGCCTTGAGCTTAGTGTGCTGGAGAAGAAATATCACGGGTAAGATATCACGTCAATAATGCGGAACGGATGTGGGTCAGTGTGTGCCGTCGGTTGGCTTTGTCTATAGGGGCCTACATTGACAGGGTGGAATTAAAGTTTAGTAGATTCTAAAAGATCTCACTCATGCTCTCTACTCTGCAATTGCTAGTTATATTGAACGGAGCGGCAGAATGTGGTCGGCAGCTGGTGTGGCGTCAGGATTTGCCAGAGAGAAAAGTGGGCTTTGTCGAGTGTCGCTTAAATGTTTCCCCGAAATTTGACAATTTAGTGGTTTCAAAGGATTAGGCCTATTTAATGTAGAAAATACATTTTATTTCTCCCCGACACATTGTGTTTTTTCTCACCGGCTTGGCCCATCGGCGCCCCACCCTCGCTAGAATTAGTAGAATTATAGAATTATTGAACTTTTAACATTTAATTTTGGATATAAAATAGTTAAATGTTAATTTAACTTGAATTTTAAAATAATTTTTTGAGATATGATATGATTTTGAGAACGATAGCATCATTGCGACCACTGCATATAATTTCCTATGAAATCCAACCGTTACGTGGTTGGATTTGTAATACGGCGACTTTTTGTCTATTTTGACCATTATGGCCGCCCATATGATTATTATTCGGTTACCAAGATACAAACATAATGTTACAAATTACAATAAAACGCGCACGTATAAACTTATATTAAAAAACCCTCTTCGAAGGGAAGAGTATAGAAAATGATTTCCGTACAACAGACTACCTTACTCGTTGCTCGAAATAACTTCAGTAGGCCTACACCATTGCAGGGAAGTTTAAACATCTTTTAAATGCAAGCACATAATTGTTTAATATAAAATATCTCGTAAAAGTAAATAGTCCTTCTGTACTTACGCTTTTCCAAGGATGTGATTTACACAGGAGGTCTTCCCAGCTCCTTCCTTCCCCATGAACATGAATCTTGCATTAACTACCGTAATTTCACCATTTTGCATTTCATATTCGAAGGCTTTCACTGCATTTTCGCCCCTAGCTTTGATTTCACCGGGTACTGACAGTTCTTTTTGATACAAAAAAAAGAATTATTAATACAGTTTAAATATTGAATGTTTGATGTCTTTTTTGTACAGTGTCTGTATAATATATTCACTTTCTACGTTAATACGGTAATTCACCACGGAAGCAACGTTGTCGAAATAATGAAAATAATAACGGGCAAAGTAAAAAATAATCATTTACGAATTATAACATAATGTGTAATAAAAGCTTTAGAATTTTAGGTGAAACAGTCACAATCATTTAATTAAACGAATATTCAACTGGTCTTTAAGCTTACCTATAAGTAACTTTCTAAGTGATTGCTTCTTTTCACTTCTCGTGGTTTTTTCATATTCTCTACATTCGTTATAATTATAATAATCAAGCGGCGTCTTTCCTTTCTGCAATAACAGACACGAGCACATGTGTCATTGCATGGCGGTTGCAAATTAAATCAACACAGTGAAGTTGCACGTTAAATCAACACAGTTATATTATATATAAACATAATCAAAAAGATTGGTGAAAGTAGTAGATATAATTTTTAAAAAAGTGACTAACACGATCCGCTTCGATTAATTTACAGCTATGTTTTGAAAATCCAAATAATCCTTATCTGTTAATTATTTATATTTTAATGAGAATATATTTATTATGTTGGTTTTGATTAATAAAAACGTTGGTCTATACAGTTGTTGTATTAGCGTCTTGACTGATACATTTTGATGCATTTTATTTTTGTGTACATTACCGGATCTTTTATCGATATGGAGGCTCCATGCATCAGTAGGCAGATGGCTGTCTCTCGATGTTGATCGTAATTATTACTCGGAGCAAGTAGACAATCATGTAGTGGTGTGCGTCCAATCTGCAATGGAATGATAATGTCAAGTTTGTTATACACGCACAACACAAGCATTACGGAAATAATTGAGAATTATCATACTGAATCATCGCTCATTGTAAGAATAATATGGACGAGAATATTAATTATTATGTGTAATATAATAATGATAATGATAACAATAATATTACTAATAATAATTATATTAACAGTGATAATGGAAAATACAGATACAATAATAATTTTATTTATAATGCCAAAAAATGCTAGTAATTGATAAAATGATGATAATGACGATGATGATGGCAATAATAAATGGGACTAACAATATCAGTTCTAATTAATATAGGCCTATATTTTGTTAAAGTACATGAACAAGAATATTACTATATTAGAATGTGATGCTTTGAATGTGTTTGTGAGTGAATTTTATGATGTTAATTTGTTTACAGTGAATAAAGTGTTGTTTTCTTTTACTGTACTTACGCCGTTTGTCACGTTGGCGTTCTTCGTTCTTTCTAACGCACTTCTCAGTGGAGTCACGCGAGCGAAGAACGCCAAAAGATGGAGAGTAGTTAAACCAGTAATACGATTCTACAAGAGAAAAGTAGAGTCAGAGTATGATAACAAAATAATACGAAAACAACAACTAACTCACACACCACATATCAACGAAAAAAAAAAACCCAGAAACATCACAGTTACTTTGCTTATCACATTTATCGTTATTATTAGATAATGGGAACGGAATTAAATCTCTTTTAAATTCCGTTTTTCTGTTAAAATCACGCAAGTAATGTTGAAATCAAAAAGGATGTTTTACACACATTAATCAATTAGGCCTATCTTTAAAATGAAAATTTTAGCGATATAACTTTTTGTGTAAAAATTCAATTGTATTGTCACAAATATATCAAGTAAACAAAAACGATCAATATAATTCCAAACATGATTAGTATCTGTTACTGCAAACATATATTTTTTCAATGTTTATATATTTAGATCATTTCCATAACAAAGGCTTTTCAATGTTTAAAAAAAATAAATCATGAAATAAAAATAAAATGCTTCGTTAAAAATATACAGTATGTCACCGTAGTCTACTTTAAGTTAATGTGTTTAGTTTATATCAAATACAATGATTTTGAATTCCACTAACCTTGAATTCTAAATTCTCCACTGAAGCTTTCGCAATCATTGTTAGCATTATGTCGTCTGGTGCGTTGTAGCGTGCAGCGTACATTAACTGCGTCGATAACTACGGAAACAAGCATACTGGTCAATACGCGATGGTAGTAACAAATTAAAAATCAATAACAAACAAAATTAAAACATTAAAAAATATTAAATAATTTACATATTTTATCGCGTGCGTTTTCTTATTGTTTAACATTGAATTAATTTTTTCAGTCCGAGTTCATAAGCCAGGGTTTCCTATTATTGATATTTAAAGCCCCATTCCCGGCAAAATTTCAATTTTTAAGAAAAATCTAATTTTTGTATAATGTTATAAAGATTTATAAATATAATACGGAATTGCTAGTTTAACTGAATTTAGACATTCCTAAGAA